AAACCATCAGTGATCGAGACCTGTTTGCGGCGTCATCCTGCCCACTCACGGCTTTCCGTTTTACTCCCTTCTGTCTCCCCCCAGGACAGACACAAGATGGCGTCTCCGGCAGACAGTTGCATCCAGTTCACCCGACACGCAAGTGACGTCCTTCTCAACCTCAATCGCCTGCGGAGCAGGGACATCCTGACGGATGTGGTGATTGTCGTCAACCGGGAGCAGTTCCGAGCCCACAAAACAGTCCTGATGGCCTGCAGGTGAGGGGTGCCATTATCCATCATCCTGGCAAAGAAGAAGGGGGGGGGGAAGCTGAGTGGCTCAGTGGTAGAGCCTCTGCTTGGCATGCAGAAGGTCCCAGGTTCAGTCCCCAGCATCTCCAGTTGAAAGGACCAGGCAGGAGGGGATGTGAAAGACCTCTGCCTGAGACGTTGGAGAGCTGTAGGAAGGGGCCTTGGCTCAGTGGAAGAGCCTCTGCCTGGCATGCAGAAGGTCCCAGGTTCAATCCCCGGCATCTCCAGTTAAAAGGACCAGGCAGTAGGTGATGTGAAAGACATCTGCCTGAGACCCTGGAGAGCTGCTGCCAGTCTGAGTAGACAATACTGACTTTGATGGGCCCAGTGTCTGATTCAGTAGACCTTTTTAACCTACCCGGTCCTTTTTAACTGGCGATGCCGGGGATTGAACCTGGGGCCTTCTGCATGCCAAGCAAAGGCTCTACCACTGAGCCACGGCGCAAGTGAGTCTGTCCGTTGGCCTGGAGTGGAGAGAAATGGAAGCCCCAGGTGACTCTGGAACTGTATTTGTAAGCTGCACCGAAGACCTTTTGGGGTCGCCAGGCGAGATGCGAGCCTTCGGAATAATCGACTGTGTTTCTCGCTTTTCCTTCCCGCCAGTGGCCTTTTCTACAGCATCTTCACGGACCAGCTGAAGTGCAACTTGAACATCATCAACTTGGATCCGGAGGTCAACCCCGAAGGCTTTGGCATCCTCTTGGAGTTCATGTACACCTCCCGCCTCAACTTGAGGGAGAGCAATATCATGGCCGTCATGACCACTGCCCTCTACCTGCAGATGGAACATGTCGTGGACACCTGCCGCAGGCTCCTCAGCGCCAGGTGAGCCCGGCGGTGTTGGTGACCTCCGCTTTCTAATGTCGTTCATTTGGAATGCTGTGGGTGCGGACAGATGGGCCCTGAGGGACCGCCTCTTCCCGTACGTTCCCCCGAGAGCGCTGCGATCTGGGAGCCTGGACCTCCTTCAGGTCCCAGGCCCCCGGGACATCAAGCTCACCCAAACCAAGGCCAGGGCTTTTTCGGTGGCGGCTCCTACCTGGTGGAATGAGCTCCCGGTGGAGATCCGGGCCCTGCGGGCCCTTGTACAGTTCCGCAGGGCCTGCAAGACGGAGCTCTTCCGCCAGGCTTTTGAGTAGGAGCCGCCGCCACTGCCACGATACCATCGCTGTGGCCGATTTTCCATCTACCTGGCCTTGGGTAGGGAGAGACGCTGCCCTGAAGAGGAACACCACTCGGGCGTCCCGAACTTGGATATCATCAGCCGCAAATGAGATTCGTCTATCTTGAGTCTAAATTAAATGTTAAAATGTTAAAATGTACTGTAGAGCACCAATTTTAGTTCTTATTTATTAAGCTTTTAATGTAATGTGTGTTTTATTCTCGGCGTTTGCCGCTTGTTGCCGCCCTGGGCCGTATGGGTAGGGCGGGATACAAATCCCAGAATAAATAAATAAATAAATAAATTTGAGCCGGGATACGTGCCAGTTAGAAACGGACTATTTACGCGCAATCACACAGCCAGCACCTGCCTCCCATCCCTAGCCGTTGCCAGCCAGCTCAAACCCCCTTTAAACCGGAGTATTTTGCTACCAGGTCCCCAAGTGGTGTTTTCCTGGTGCTGCGGTTCTAGCCTAAAATGGTTAGTCAAGAATAGAAGAGGGCCAACTCTAAAAATCTGATTATAAAATATACAAAAATACAAATGAAGCCTCCAGTGTAATCACCTGTCCAGTAGTACTTCTCTCTGGTCAACTTATATGTTCTTCTGAGATTAGGAACGTTTTATTGGGAACATTTGGCTTCATTTGTATTTTTGTATTCCTTTTCTTTGCCCAGTGGTTAAACTTTGGAACAATTGTGTTCTGGTCTTTATTCCATATTTTTGTATATGTATGATTGTGTGTATTTGTACATATCAGCCAACATGGTCTGTCTGTATTAGACCTCTGAGGAAGGCCTGTAAAGGCCGAAACGCGTTAGGTCTACTTTATTAGGCCTTGTATGTTTCTATATTTGTATATGAGGTATGAATGGGCCCTTGCTTGTTATTTTAATTTGTGTTGAATAAATACATGTATATTTTTGTATATTTTATAAGTAGTTTTTTAGAGTTGGTCCTCTTCTATTCTTGACTAACCTTTTTAGGTTTTGAATTCTAGGTTTAGGTTCAGTTTTTTCCCCTTTTCTCTTTTTTGTCCTTGCTGCGGTTCTAGCCACATTTTCCTGGCGTGTGATCGCGCCTCTGCTGGTGTAGAGCCACTTCCGCTCGGAAGCTCGAGGCTTCCGCTTTTTGTCTGCCGTTTTATTTTAGCGTCGGCGATATGTGCTTGGGCGAAGCATCGGCCCAGCGTTAATAAAACAAATTTTAAAAGACGGTGCCTAGTTTTAGGCTTTAGACGAGTCCGGGACCTCACGGAGGCCAGTTTCGTTGTAAGAGTTTAAAGGGAAGTGTTCGCTTCAGGGCATGCTTTTGGCGTGAAGATTTCAATGATATGGATGGGTGTCTATGTGCATGCGCAAACATTGGGGGGGGGGAGGGAACTGCCGACGCGCGCTGCTGCACACCTGTAGTGTGGACGCCCGGGAGCGATGTGCTGTGCGGTGAGGGAGGTAAGCGTGATCGCACTTGTCCCGGATCAAATATAATCCGATTGGAACCGGAGCAGTTTAAACCGCTTCGGCATCCTGTCTGACCGCACCCTCTGCACAGTTCTTGTCACCGTATCTCAGGAAGGATGTTGCAGCGCTGGGAAAAATGCAGAGGAGGGCGACAAAGATGACGAGGGGGTTGCAGCCCCTTCCCTAGGAGGAAAGGCCGAAGCGTTTGGGGCTTTTCAGTTCAGGAAGGAGATGACTTGGGGGGGGGGGATGTGGTATTACATCTTATTACTTTATTCCGTGCGCCTTGGTGTTTAGTCATGCCGGCCACATGAACACGGAAATGTCTTCGGACAGCGCTGGCTCTTCGGCTTTGAAACGGAGATGAGCACCGCAACCCTAGAGTCGCATTCGACTGGCTTTTGAGCAAGGGAACCTTTACCTTTACCTTTACTTTAGAGAACATTTTGAAAGCTTGTCCCATAACTCCAGGAAAGACATTTCGTATCCTTCTCTAGTTGAGCGGAGTCTAACTCATTTCTGTTTTCGCCTTCTGCCATGTTGACTGAGCCTGTTTTGGGCCCTGAGGTATGACCTCATTTGCGAGACAGTCAACACAGCTCTTTCTTATGAACAAAACTTTATTTGGTGTCATGGTTAAGTGCGCAGACTCTAATCTGGGAGAACCGGGGTTTGATTCCCCACTCCTCCACTTGCACCTGGCTGGATCACCTTGGGCAAGCCGTAGTTCTGATAAGAGCTGTTCTTGAGAAAGAGCAGTTTCTGTCAAGAGCTCTCTCAGCCCCACCGACCTCACAGGGTGTCTGTTGTGGGGAGGGGAAGGGAAAGGAGTTTGTAAGACGCTCTGAGACACCTTTGGGTAGTGAAGGGCGAGGTATGAATCCTATCTCTTCTCTTCTTCTTCTCTTTATCCACCACTTCCAACATGGAATGAAAAGGCCCAGTGTCCAAACAAACGTACAGTTCCTTTGATGCATACGCTGAATCAGACAACAGTGAGATAACCAGGGCTTAGCAGGATACAGGTGAAGAGTTGAAGCTTCTAAGGAAAATCCAGTGATAAGATGATTGCTTTTTTCCCCTGGTGTTAAAAGCATGGATACCTCTTGAGAACATAACAGAGAGGGAAACATAACTGCGCAGAAACGAGGGGGCAGCAATATCACATATAGAGATGTAAGATTTCCGGAAATTTTGAAGCTTGGAAAAAACCCCAGTTTTCCCCCGTTTTTTCCCCCAGAAAAAATGGAAATTTTCGGAAAAATTGGAAAAAAAATGCTACATGAGCACTTCTTTTTTCTTTTCCAGATTGAAAGTCATTTTGTTACTTTAGGAACATGAAATATGACTATGGACCTTTTTACTTGGCATGAAATTATCACAACTAGCCTATTGAAAATGTAGTGTATCCAAACAATTATTACAAACAGAATACCCACCCACATGCAAAAACAAAACTGAAGCCTTTTTCTTTTCTTATGACAATAGCACCTCCTAAAGGAAGAAATGCATCTTGTTCTTGCATTGGAGAGTTCCGTTTGTAACCTAGGACTTGCTTGTCCTCAGTGCACAGCAATTAGATCAATCTGGTACCATACCTATTTTTTTAGAAATGATTTGGAAAATATTTGAACACCTTGTCTTAAAATATTTTATTCATCGTGTTAAAATAAAATGCCCCATAATCAATTTTTTTTCTTTTCTTTTTTCAATTTTTCAGGAAAAAAACAAAAAAAAGGCTTCAGGAAAAAAACGAGGGGAAAAACAGGTTTTCCCCCCGAATTTTTCCGGTCTTTTCCCAGGCCTTCACATCTCTAATCACATATCATACTGCTGTGACGTAAAGCTATCAAGTGCCTATTCTTACAGGTACACTGAACAAAGCTTGACTCCCGTAGCACCTTTAAGACCAACAAAGTTTTATCCTGGTGCAAAGTTTGGTGACTTCTGTTTCACTGTGACTGAAGAAGTGTGCCTCGCACACGGAAGCTTCTACCCAGAATAAAACTTTGTTGGTCTTAAAGGTGCCCCTGGACTCAAACTCTCTTCTGTAGCTTCAGACCAACATAGCTACCCCACCTGAATCTAAGGTACACTAAACATTTACGCAAAGGAGGAAGGAAGAGGAGGAAGAGATTGGATTTATACCCCACCCTTCACTGAGAGAACTGCTCCTGAGAGAACAGCTCTGAGAGAACTTGTGACTGACCCAAGGTCACCCCAGCTGGCTGCATGTGGCGGAGTGGGGAATCCGACCTGGTTCTCCCAGATTAGAGTCTGCACTTCTAACCACTACACCAAACTGGCTGTCCGATAGCTCTCCAGGGCAGCACAGAGGCATTTTCTTTCTCAGACCAGGAAGAAAGAAACACACGTTTTGATCAACGAACACACGAAACCTCCTTCTACTGAACCAGACCCTGGGTCCATCAGAGTCAGTTTTGTCTACTCAGACTGGCAGTAGCTGTCCAGGATCTCGAGCGGAGGTCTTTCCCGTCGCCTCCTGTCTGGTCGTTTTAAACCGGAGATGGTGGGAATTGAACCTAGGACCTTCTGCATGCCAAGCAGATACTCTGCTACTGAGGCATAGTGAAGGACCACTGTTGTTGTTATCCATTCATTCGTGCCTGACTCTTGGCGCTTCTACGGGCCGGCTCTCTCCACGTTTTCCGATCTTGTACCGTTTCTTTGAGTCGTTCCACGCTCAGGCTGGTGTCGACTTTTACGGGGTCTAGCCACCGGGTTCTTTGGCAGCCCGGTTTCCTTTTACCACTAACCAACCCAAGCAGAATTACTTTTTTTCTAGTGAGTTCTGGCCAAAATAACTCAGTCGCAGTTTAATGATTTTTTTCCCCTTCCAGTGGCATGTCTGGTTTTATGCGTTCCAATACTTGTTTGTCACCTTTGCCCTCCAAGGAATGCGCAGGGGGGACCACTGTCTATGTATTAATACAACATCTCTCTCTTTCTCTTTGCACGTTCAGTGAGGCGGAGATGATGTCTTCTGTGAAAACTCCCCGGGAAGAGTTCTTGGCCAGCCGGATGCTGAGTCACCCCGAGATGATGGCATACAGGACCCGGGACATGTCGGAAAGCAGCATGCCTCTTCGGAACGGGCCGATTTGCGACGGGCGAGCCTTCGCCACCAGCTTGTACAGCGGCCTGTCCGGCTCCCCCCTCTCCTACACTGGATACAGCCCCATGCCTGTCAACAGCTATCTTTTCTCAGACGAAGAACTGCGAGAGTCGAGAATGCCCTTGTCGGACATTTCGAGAGCGAATCTTTTCCCGCGGGAGCGGGCGCTGCCGTGCAACACCTCCCGGGCGGGTCCCCCCGAGTACGCCAGACCCGTCGCCGACGTCTGTCCCAGCGCGTGCCACGCCTCCGTCTACTCCCCGAAAGAGGCCGCGGCCGAAGAAGTCAAGAGCGACACACACTACAGCCCGGGCCCCAAGCCGGCGGCCCCCCTCGCTCACGGCGCCCCCTACTTCGTCTGCGACAAGGTGAGCAAGGAGGAAGAGAAGTCCTCCGGGGAGGAAGAGATGAGCCAGCACTTTGAGCCGACGAACGGCCCCGCGAACCGCAAGGGGCTCACCAGCCCGCAGAGCCCCCAGAAATCAGACTGCCAACCCAACTCGCCGACCGAGTCCAGCAGCAGCAAGAACGCGCGCATCGGCCAGAGCTCCGGCTCCCCGTCGGCCAAGAGCCCCTCCGACCCCAAGGCCTGCAACTGGAAGAAGTACAAGTTCATCGTCCTCAACTCGCTGAACCAGAGCGCCAAGGAGGACGGGTCCGACCAGAACGAGGCGGGGAACCTGTCTCCACGCTCGTACATGCCCACCCTGACCTGCCAGCAGCCCATGGAGCCGGAGAACTTAGACGTGCAATCGCCCACCAAAATGATCGTCAACGGGGAAGACTCGACGATTCCCCAGGCGAGCAGGCTCAACGGTATCGTGAACAGGTGAGTGGAGGGGAGTGTCCGGCTGGGACCCGGGAGTGGGTGTGTCCTACGAGTCGTCAAGTTGCTGCCTACTTATGGTGACCCTTTAGATTGCTTCAAGAGGGGGCTGGATAAACATATGCGGCAGAGGTCCATCAGTGGCTATTAGCCACAAGATATAGATAGGAACACTCTGTCTGGGGCAGTGATTCTCTGTCGTCTTGGTGCTTTCGGGGGACACAGTGGGAGGGCTTCCGGAGTTCTGGCCCCGCTGGTGGACCTCCTGATGGCACCTGGGTTTGGGCCACTGTGTGACACAGAGTGTTGGATTGGATGGGCCGTTGGCCTGATCCAACATGGCTTTTCTTAATGTTCGTTGAATTAATGATCTCCAGAACATCCTATCATCAACAGCCTTGCTCTGGTCTTCCAGACTTCAGGCTGTGTCTCCCTTGATTTGAGTCCTGTTGAGCTGCGGTGGCTCAAGTGGTTAAGACGCTGAACTGCAGGCTGTGGAAGGTCGGTAGTTCAGCAGTTTGAGACCCGAGTGTGCCGCATGACGGAGTGAGCTCCCGTCTCTAGTTCCAGCTCCTGCCAACCTAGCCGTTCGAAAGCAAGAAATTGCAAGTAGATAAATAGGTATCCCTTCGGTGGGAAGGGAACAGCGTTCTGTGCACCTTGGTGTTTAGTCATGCCGGCCACATGACCACGGAAACGTCTTCGGACCGCGCTGGTTCTTTGGCTCTGAAACGGAGATGAGCACCACAACCCTAGAGTCGGATTCGACTGGCTTTCGAGCAAGGGAACCTTTACCTTTACCTTTTTATCCCCTGTTGGGTCTTCCTGCTTTCCCTGCCGCCTTCCGCTTTTCCGAGCACGGCTGCCTTTTCCAGTGACTCTTGTCTTCTCATAACGCGACCGAAGTATAATGACCTCAGTCTGGTCGCTTTAGCTTCTAGGGAGAGTTGTGGCTTGGTTTGATCTAGGACCCGCCGATTGGTCTTTCTGACAGTCCACAGTCTTCATAACACCTTCCTCCAACACCACGTCTCAAAGGACTCAACTCTCTTCCTCGTCAGCTTCCCTCATCGTCCGACTTTCACACCCACACATAATACTGGGGAATCCTGTGGTAGGATAATTCGTGATCTTAAGCTCCATTGGCGCGCCCTGACACGTAACGAATCTTTTCTGGCTCCTTCTCAGTTTCAGTCTCCGTCTGATTTCGTGGTTGCGGTGAGATTCCCCCCCCCCAACTTGGAACCCCACACCAGGTTTTGGGAGTAAAGTTTTTGAAACCTCTTACGGTAATTCTCTTTTGTGACCCCGGAAGGGTTACCGGCTCCAGGCGAGGGAAATTCCTGGAGATTTTGGGGGTGGAGACTGGAACGGGTGGGGTTTGAGGAAGGACTACAGAGAGATATAATGAGCCATTTTGGTGTAGTGGTTAAGTGCGAGGACTCTAATCTAGAAGAACCGGGTTTGATTCCCCCACTCCTCCACTTGCAGCTGCTGGATGACCTTGGGCAAGCCATAGTTCTGTCACAGCTGTTCTTGAAAAACAGCAGTTTGTGTCAGAGCTCTCTCAGCTCCGCTGACCTCACAGGGTGTCTGTTGTGGGGAGGGGAAGGGAAAGGAGTTTGTAAGCCACTTTGAGACTCCTTTGGGTAGTGAAGGGCGGGGAGAGCCAGTTTGGTGTCGTGGTTAAGTGCGCGGACTCTAATCTGGGAGAACCGGGTTTGATTCCCCACTCCTCCACTTGCAGCTGCTGGATGACCTTGGGCAAGCCATAGTTCTGCCAGAGCTGTTCTTGAAAAAGAGCCGTTTCTGTCAAGAGCTCTCTCAGCCCCACCTACCTCGCAGGGTGTCTGTTGTGGGAAGGGGAAGGAGTTTGTAAGCCGCTCTGAGACGCCAAGTGAAGGGCGGGGTATAAATCCAGTCTCCCCCCCCCCCCAAACCTGAATTATGGTGCCGTGTCTCTTTCCAAAATCTAGACTTAACAGTTAAAATTCTGAAGGCTTTTTTGGAGGGGGGGGGGCAATCTGGCAATTTTGGTTTTTTTGTAAATATTTTATTGTTTTTCCATTACTACATCACTAAAGCTACAGGAGTAGGGGAGTGGAACTTTATACACTGTTCACTACAGTTCTACTAGGGATTGGGGCAGTGGAGCTAACAGGTGCCACGATCTGGACTGCATGAATTTTTAACTGCATCACCTACTAATATTAAGGTAGCATTGTAAATAAAAGTTTGAGAATAAAAATTAGCATCGGATAGCGTTTTTACAAAAACTGCATAAACATCTATTTTAGTTTCAGAGTCTTCTCTTTTTGCATTTCTTGTCCAAGGTTTGGGAGCGGCTGCTCCTTTTTCAGATTCCAAAGTCTCTGAAGATTTAGAACTCTAGTGCTTGTTGAGTAGGATTCTTCGACAACTTCCTCCTACGCAGAAAGTTTCATCTTCTTTTCTTTTTTCTTTTGATTTGGCTTTGAAAATTGGGCCATAAACTTATTTGCTTTAGGAACAGAGTCAATCTTGAATTTTTTGTCCTCATAGTTGAAACTCAGTCCTTCAGGGAATACCCATCTGTAGGGTATTCCGTTTTCTGGCCACTGTGGTTTGAAAAAGAGACCTCTATATAGTTGAAGCGGAATCTTTTCATTGTTCTACTGTTTGTTCCCAGTTTGAAATTTGGGTTTCCAGTTTGTCTTCTGGTGTTGTGATCCCAATCATGATTTGTTGCTGGAAGGTTGATGTAGACCCACCGTATCCAGATACGGAATCATTCTGGGTGGTTGCATTGTTAAAAAGAACTCAAATGAATGCCAAGAGCTGCACATCAGAGGCAGTGCCCATGACTGGGCCCAATCCCACAAAGTGAGCAAGGTTGCGGGTGGGATTTCTGCTGCCGGTTCTCCCCCCCCTTGCAGCCCCCCCGCCCGTATTCTCCTCCACAGTAGCTGCTCAACCGCACTCTCCCATAGGAAAACCGTGTGTCAAAATAATTTCAGGAGGGCAACCGTGTTGGCCTGTGGTCGAACAACTAGATCTAAATCCAGTAGCCCCTTAAGGGTCAAGGTTCCCTTGCTCGAAAGCTAGTCGAATCTGACTCTAGGGTTGCGGTGCTCATCTCCGTTTCAAAGCCGAAGAGCCAGCGCTGTCCGAAGACGTTTCCGTGGTCATGTGGCCGGCATGACTAAACACCAAGGCGCACGGAACGCTGTTTACCTTCCCACCGAAGTGTTCCCTATTTATCTACTTGCAATTTCTTGCTTTCGAACGGCTAGGTTGGCAGGAGCTGGAACTAGAGACGGGAGCTCACTCCGCCATGCGGCACACTCGGGTCTCGAACTGCTGAACTACTGACCTTCCACAGCCTGCAGCTCAGCGTCTTAACCACTTGAGCTACCGCAGCTCCTTAGTAGCCCCTTAGGGAATGACAATATTTTAGAAGAATGAGCTTCCGAGAGCAAAAGTTCCCGATGAGGGGAGTTTTGACTCTGGAAAGCTGTGATGGCTCACCGTGGGGCGTTTGGCCGAATAAGATGCATGAGGACCAGGCAGAGCGAACAACAAATAAATGGTTTAATTTTGCAGGGGGTCCGCCCAATATGGGAAAGAAACAAGGGGGGAAGAAGAATAGCAGTAAGGGGGTGAAGGGAAAAGAAACCAAATGCCCTAATGCGACTAGACTCCCAGTCCCTAGTCCACTGCCTCAGATGGGCCTGAGTCTGCTCACCCGTCCTCTCGGGGTGAGGGTCTCTTCCCTGCAGCAGCCTTCCCTCTGGCCCTGCTCTCTTGGAAGAAAGAACCAGCTCTTCTTCTGTAAGGTAAAGGTAAAGGTTCCCTTGCTCGAAAGCCAGTCGAATCCAACTCTAGGGTTGCGGTGCTCATCTCCGTTTCAAAGCCAGCGCTGTCCGAAGACGTTTCCGTGGTCATGTGGCCGGCATGACTAAACACCAAGGCGCACGGGACACTGTTACCTTCCCACTGAAGTGGTACCTATTTATCTACTTGCAATTTCCTGCTTTCAAACTGCTAGTTTGGCAGGAGCTGGAACTAGAGACGGGAGCTCACTCCGTCATGCGGCAACCCGGGTCTCGAACTGCTGAACTACCGACCTTCCACAGCCTGCAGTTCTGCATCTTAACCACTTGAGCCACTGCAGCTCCTTTCTCTGTGATTGGCTACAATTGGCGCCGAAACCTCTCAGGGGCTTCTGGGAGTTGTAGGCCTGGCCTCCTCACACCACTACTCAGGCTCCCTGGGCCTGCTAGGCCTTTCTTTGCACAGCCCCAGATCACGCCAAGAGCTTATACCCCAAAAAAACCTTGCGAGTCTCTCAGGCGTTCCTGGGACTCAATCACGTGGGTCAAAACAGTACCTCTGTTGGACAAAATCATTCTGTATATACTGGGTGTCCTGACCTGTGTAGCCCAATTAAATGTATGATGTTGATCAGGGGTTATTTCGTAGAAAAAGAGGTGCAGGAGCTCATTAGCATAGCTTATTTGCATATGCCACACCCCCTGACATCACCAGAAGTGTGTCAGAAGGCAACACCCACCGCTCAGGCTCCACTGGACTGTTTTGGATTGCTAGCTTGGGGGGGGGGGGAGCACACAGATCTGCCCTCGCAGAGGAGGGAGAGCTTGTGCCTGAATAAAACTTGGTCTTAAAGGTGCCACTGGACTGTTTTGGATTGCTAGCTATTGGGGGGGGG